GGAGCAGCCGAGCAGAATGCCCGGTCTCCCATAGTACGGAGCTTAGTCCTGGGGGGTTTGAGCAGGTTGGAGTTGCTGGAGCGGGTGGTCCGCAAGGAGGTATGGGTGGTGAGGAGTTCCTTGAGGTAGGGAGGGGCAGTTCCATGGACACACTGGTGGGTGAGGACGGAGACCTTGAATTCGATCCTCAGTTCCACGGGTAGCCAGTGTAGTGCTTTAAGGATGGGGGTGATGTGGTCATATTTGCGCACCCTCATCAGGATCCTAGCAGCGCTGTTCTGGATGTACTGGAGCTTCTGGATGCTTTTGTTAGGGATCCCGATGAGGAGTGCATTGCAGTAGTCCAGCCTGGAGGAGACAAAGGCGTGGACCAGCTTTTCGGCGTCAGACAGAGTGAGTGTGGGGCGGAGTTTGGCGATGTTCCTGAGGTGATGAAAGGAGTTCTTGCACAGCTGTTTAATGTGGGCCTCAAAGGTCAGATGGGCGTCCATTTTAACACCCAGGTTGGTGACTATTGAGGAGAGGGTAATGTCCTGGCCGGAGAAGGTGATGGTGGTGATGGTGGATGACCGAACCTGGTGTGGGGTGCCAACTATAATGGCTTCGGTCTTGGAGCTGTTGAGTTTCAGGAAGTTTTGCTTCATCCACGCCTGTATCTCCTCCAGGCAGGCAGTGAGTGTGGGTGAAGGCAGGGCTGCAGAGGAGGTAGGGTTGATCCTGAAGTACAGTTGGGTGTCATCAGCGTAACAGTGGAATGATACTCCATGTCGGCTGATGATAGAGCCAAGGGGGGGCATGTAGAGTGTGAAGAGGGTGGGGCCGAGAACTGATCCTTGAGGGACACCACAGGTGACGTTGTGGGTACCCGACTCTGCCTCGCCCAAGGAGACGTACTCTGTTCTCCCGGTGAGGTATGATCTGAACCAGTCAAGGGGAGAGTCAGAGAGTCCGATGGTGGAGTGCAGACGATGGAGGAGGATGCCGTGGTCGACGGTGTCGAAAGCTGCAGTGAGATCGAGGAGGATGAGGAGAGAGGGAGAGCCAGCATCAGCCGTCATCAGCAGGTCGTTGGTGACCCTGACCAGGGCAGTTTCTGTGCTGTGGCCTGAGCGGAAACCAGACTGGAACTTCTCAAATACGTTGTTGGAGTTTAGGTGGTCCTGGAGCTGAGCAGCAACTAGTTTTTCCAGCACCTTTGATTGAAAAGGAAGGTTGGAAATGGGTCTGTAGTTGGCCAGGACTCCCGGGTCAAGGGAGCGTTTTTTGAGACGAGGTTTGATGACAGCGGTTTTTAGGGCAGAGGGGACATGGCCAGCCTGGAGAGAGAGGTTTACGATCTTAGTGATCATGGGGCTCATGGTACAGATGTACGATTTCACCAGAGCTGACAGAAGGGGGTCCAGGACACAGGTGGAGGGCTTCATCCTCCTAACGATGCCCTCAACCTCTCGCTGAGAGACGTCCGTGAAACAGCGAAGAGGCTGGGTTGTCCCAGGTTGTGGGTCAGCAGTTGGAACTGGAGGTGCAGAGGGGCTAGAGAGGAGGGAGCGGATGGTGTCAACTTTGTTTGTGAAGAAAGCGGCGAAGTTGCTACACTGCTTCTCAGTGGAGTCGGAGTGTAAAGGACTTTGGGGTTTGAGGAGGTGGTTAATGGTGGAGAAGAGTTGCTTGGAGTTTCCAGTACTGTTGTTGATGAGGGAGGAGTAGTACTGGGACCGTGCATCTCTGAGGGACTGTGCGTAGGCCTTCTAAATCTTTTCTCTCTCTACTTCTCATACTCTCTACTCCTGTAATCTATTCTTTCTATCCTCTCTTTATCCAAAAACCTTTTCCCTCTCTGACCTCTCGAGGTTTTATTAGAGGGAAACAGGTTTGCAGAGTGGCTGAGGCAGGCCGGGGAGTGTTATGATTCGTATTCACAGCGTACCTCCTTACCTCTCACCAATTCCAACTAAGGCTCCAGTGGGGACCTTGTTCCCTGCGTGTGCCTCTCCACCTCTGTTTCTTACTCTCTTACTTGCTACCCTTTCCCCTCAACCTATCCTAAGGGAGTGCTTGTTCTTCCTTCTCTCTGTCTGTACCTGTGTACTCTCTTGTTCCGATTAACCCAGCCTCCCCCAAATGTTCTTGTTTTGTGTCTATATCGACGCCGGGATCCTGAGTCGAGGCTGATCCTCTTGCTGTGGTCCTGTGCCCTGGATCCTCTATCCTGAGTTCTGGATTAAGTCGTGGACTTCGGGTCATGGCTGGGCCTGTCTCTGCGGTCCTGCCTGACTATCATCATACTGCTTCCCTGAAGGCTCCCACAGGGTTGTTGTTGACATCCTCGTGGATTCATCTTCTTATTATAGACACATGCATTTCCAAACATTTGGTCTACCTACGCTGTAAAATGTATTATCTCTTCGATTTACACACGGCATCTATTGCACGTCTGTCCGTCCTGGGAGAGGGATCCCTCCTCTGCTGCTCTCCCTGAGGTTTCTCCCATGTTCCTTTAAACTGTGGGTTTTCTCTGGAAGTTTTTCCTTGTACGATGTGAGGGTCTAAGGACAGAGGGTCTAAGGACAGAGGGTGTCGTTTTCTCATACTGATATTCTGCACAAACTGTGCTGTTATATTTGCTGTAAAGTGTCTTTACTGTAGGGTATTTTTATTATATGTACAGCACTTTGGCTCGACCAAAAATCGTTTAAAAATGTGCTATATAAATAAAACTTGATTTGATTTGATTTGAAAGTGAAACAAAAAACCTCTTCTGAAATACATCTTTGCACAGGGCCAGTGTTAACAGGAGGCAGGATTACACCTAACACCAACTGTTTCTATGTACATGTGGGCGTCTAACAGGCCTGTCCTTTGAAAAAGTGAACCATAGGAACATGTCAGCCACAGCCGGCTAACTTCACTAGAGCAGTAACAAGTTAGCAACGAGCTAACTGCATTTGGAGAGATAACAGGCGGAGCGACTGATCTCTGTATTGTAGACAACTTACAACAGCTCTGACGATTCAAACCACTGCCTTTTGTAAGGTTTCAAAGGTTTTAAAGTCATATACACAGATACAGTTTAGTCTAAAAACTGAGGTCACAGGTTGGTTAAAACATGTAATATGCAGCTTCTCTTTTGGTGTCCTCTGAAAAATAAAAACATAATGTGTCACAATCAGAATCAGAAACAGGTTTATTACCAGGTAGGTTAACACATACGAGGCATTTGACTTGATGTCGTGGTACATAAATACAAATAAAAATAAAACACAGGTAGAAAAATATTTTAAGAAAAATATAATAAAATTTAAAAATATTCAAAAATGTACTAAAATATAGCAGTATTTAAACAGAATATGGTTGAAATCGCAGAAATAGATTTGGAATAAAATATGTGAAGTAATGAAAAAAAAGATACTGTAAACATTGTGTGCATTGATGTGCATTTAACTCCCAATATGATCAAACTTCAAAACCATTGGACAAAAGATGGATTTTATAATCAGCAAACACACTGCTATTGGTGGAAAATACAGTGAAGAAGAGAAACCTCTGGCCTGAGTTAAGTTACTAAACAACATGAATTAACAGTTATTATAAAACAAAAAGAGCTGATTTAATATTCAAATGTTTAATCTTCATCACTTTTTAATTTTTAAATAACATGACTGTTAAATAAATCTCATGTTTGCTTGTGTTCACAGCTCACCTGGACGCGTTGCCTTTTTATCCACAGGGCCTTCTGGTGCATTCACATAGTCAGCTTCTTCTGTGATTTCCTCTGGAAGATAAACACATACTGTTTCATCAGATATGCAGACGACTAGGACAAAAGATATGTATGGAGAAATAAAGGAGGGGACCCAGGATGGAGCCCTGTGGGACCCCAGTGATGAGTTGATGAAGGTCAGAAACAAACCCTCTTCAAGTCACTCAAATACTGATAAAACTGGTTTGGGAACTTCCTATGAAAGCATGCACCCAAAGTAATTGAATCCAACCATCTGACAAACAAGAAACTCTTGTATTTTAATACACATAATTGGGTCCTTCAATAAGTCACGATGTAATCAGTAACATGATTTTGGTGTGTGTGTCTTGCTTTGGGACAAAAAGTGTGTTCGAAAGCTGTTACCGTTCATGGTGTTCGCGGGTACATTTTGACCCATGATTTATCTCCAAAACCCTAAAAATAATGACTATCATCCAATATTGTTTTTACGACATGATAACTAACTTATTATGCATTCATAACCGTACAATCCTGTTGTAATTTTATTTTATGGCCCCAAAACACATTACACCACATATTTAAGAACAAAATGGGATTCAATTCACTCATTATATTCCCTATAGTGAAGAAGGGTAATTATGTTATCTGACTATGATAGACTAATACTCGAATACAATTTAAAAAAATAAGTTTTTAGAACTTCATATTATTAACTACTGTATAGTGGTGTTACGGGTCAAAATCAACCCATATAGATTCATGCTAGAAAAAGTTAAAAAAAACAAGCTTCTGTTAGAAAATGTTGTTCATGCCACGCCCCCCCAACAGACTTGGCTAAATCAGTTTGTTAGAGTTCATATAGCTGTTGTGGAGGATATCATGAAGCCTTGTTCTGATAAAAACTAGAGGGTAGTTATTATATAATGTTAACTTGAAAATGGTCACAGGAGACCTGAACACAACATAAGGGTTAGAGGAACTGAGCAGCATTGATGGACACTGATGCATTGATGAGTTTAAACACTAGTATCACATCTTATCATCATACATACATCTTACTGAGTGTTTGCTCTTTTTTTGGCCAATTCACCTCCACTTCCTGTCCCTCTCTGAAACTCTGCTGGTGCTGATGTTGACAGAGTGACTGAATATTGAGGCTTGATCTCCTTCTATCTTATTTTCATCAAAATGGTTGCACCATGAATAAGATTGTTTCTCCAGACTTGACTAAAGCACTGATGTCTTCAAGGAAAAGACACAAACCACAATGTGTGGCAGCACATTTATTCACTGGTGACAACAGAGTAAAACAAGACATTGCTCATAGACAAAAATACAGATAGATAAAAATCATCCATAAAGTGTGCGTCATCAGAATAGTATCAGGGACAGTTTCATCCCACTGGCCATTAGACTATTAAACACCTGAGCTTGCACTATTTATTTTTGTATTGTTCTTTTTTATATGTATTTCTTATGTCTTGTTAATTGCACTGTTAAGGAACCTGCGATCACATTTTTTCAAACATTACATAATTACACCGTAGTTTCTAAATGTCATGACAATAAACCTTTGATTCTTGAATCTTGAAAAATAGTTTTTTAACAGACTCTGGAACATTGTATTGAGAACAAGTGATGCAGCGCCCTCTGTTGGCCGGTAGAAGCAATCAAATAAAATGGTCCATAATCTTTGCAATAATCTGCAGAGTTTAAGCGTTGCATCTCTAACACAATAGAATAACATTATTCACACAAAACAGTATAACTATTTTAACCATCCATATCTAATAAAAACACCATACAAATGTTAAAGAAAGAAATATTTGCATTCATTTTGCCAGCCTACAGAAATTAAATCAAACTAAAAGTACATCGATTTTAAAATAATCCACATTACGAGTTAACTTTTGTGTTTTATTGTTTGTATCGAGTTTGTGAAACGTTTCTGGAATTACTGTTTTTTATACTTTTTCTGTTTTATTTTTTGTTTGGAAATTGTTTTTATTCACAAGTAATTCATCTTTTTCTCAAAGAGTTTCCAGAAACCTTCTTAGTATGACTGCTTTCTTTAAACAGACAGAGCCTTCTTCTTGCACAACCATTGTTGTTTCTCATCACAGCTCTCTGATGACCATTTGTCTTTGAACCTGTAAAACACTGCACAGCGACCGTCAACAGGAGGATCTATCCAGGAGCTGAGGAGAGAACATGATGTTTAGATAAAGACTGATAGATGTTATTATTCAAAGTGTTTAGTAATGAATCTCTTACCTATCAGTCAGATCACTTCCATCCACCCACTTCCATTTCCCATCTTCAACTCTCAGACCAATCCAGAATCCATTGAATCCTAAACTGTACCTATAGATTGCTGCCTGGAAAACAGAGACAGAGTTGTCAGATATTTAAACATTAAACTGTAATAAACACATAATGACCTAAAGACCCAAAGTGTGTTCAAACCTACACAAAACACATTTACTTTCTAATTGCATCATATTAATAGACTTACCTTTTCAGCAGGATTATGTGCAACAGCCAAATCTGAATTCTTTCCTTTGCAGTCTTCTCGAGCTTCTTCCCAGGTTTTTGGATTAGAAGAAGGAGGGTCATTGGTCTCATAGCAGCTGAGACCAGTGAGTCCCCAGCCCTTCTGACAAGGTTGACACTTATCATCTGAAACAACAGAGTCCAAACAATCAACATCATGACTGCAGTATGAAAACATTGTAATAATGACCTAATATATAGGATCTGAACATACCGGTGTTTCCTAAGCAGTAGGAATCGATGCTCCACTGAGCTCCACTGATGTTGAGCTCTTTCCAGGTTGTTGTCATGTCTTGTATTTGCTGTTTCAAGTTGTTCTCCCGTGTCTCCAGCTCCTGGTTTCGTGATGTCAGGTTCAGGATTTCTGCAGTCTGCTTGGCGTTGTCTTCAGAAAGTCCAGAGGTCACTACAGAGACAAAGAGAGGAAGGTGTTGGGCTGTAAGGCTTGTGTCTCTGAGTGTTTGAATGTTCTTGATAAACATTGAAGACTGGGTTCACATGTTTGCTTCACATAGCAAAGAGCTAAATGCATTTGGAAAGTGACTGGTCTCCTCTGTATTGTAGACATCTTACAACAGCTCTGACATTTCAAACCACTGCCTTTTGCAAAATATGGAGAACAGGAAGACACCTTCACACACACTTCGCCCTTAACACATATTTCAGCTTCCTATTGCAGAATCTTTGCAGCAAACGAGAGGGGAGATGTTGTTGGGTCAACAGACAGAGTTGAGCTTCAGGTCACATCTAATACAAACTGTTGAACTGACTTTCACACAGAAGATACTCACAGTAGATACGGAGACCCATGATGGCTAACAGTATGAGCCAACACACTGCTATCAGAAGAAAAAACCTCTGGCCTGAAAAATAATAATTCAGTTAAAAAAGCTAAACAACATGACAGTCACAGATGCTTAGGATACACTTAGAACAAAAAGAGACGATTACATATTCACACTTTCAACTTTCTGCACTCCCATTTCTGAACACTATGATTGCTACATGAATCCCATTTTTGACAATATTAAATGTGGATTGTTTTGTGTTCATAATGCACCTGGACGGGTTCTCTTTTTATCCACAGTGCCTCTTGAGGCATTAACATAGTCATCTTCTTGTTCTTCAATTTCCTCTGAAAGATAAACACATTATTTATATTGTAATGCAGTTTTACTCCCAGTGTGGTGAGCATCCATGAGGAACCATTGCACTGAAAGGTGGATTTTATCATTTGTAAAGTTTGAATGTATAATAAACGTTCTGGTCACGCTGAAAAAGCATGACGTTCATCTCCAGTCACAGATATTAATCTAAAGCAGAACTAAAAACCACACACAGAGAATTGTTCGGTTCTCACCCTGACTTTTTCTTTAAAATCACAAACAAATATCTTTCTGCTGAAACTAAAAACCATTAGACAAACTAAAATCTGACTTTTTTAAATAATCAAATTGATTTTGTCAGAAGAAGATGTTGATACATCGCCAGTTTCTTACTCAATTTATTCTGAGAGAAACAAATGCAATTTATAATTCTGTGTTCATCAGAGTTTGAAAATCACATTTGAAATAAATGTTGGTATTTGCAAACAACAGGAGCATGACACCTGACTATTCCCTGTGTTTTTTATATTCAGGGTTCATACCCTTTTTCACCAATGATTTTCAATGACTTTTCCACGACTTCTCCATGACCTTTACCTCATTTTCCATGACCAAAAAAATTACTCTTTCTCAGCGGTACCACATGGAACAGGAACATAAGGTCTGCATATGAAACATGCCGTGCCTATCTAAAACAAATCCAATAGTTGGCTTACTAGCTTCTACACGCTAAAGCAACTAAAATCTCTCACCAGCAAAATACCTCGACATGCAGTTAAATGCCATTTTCCGTTTCATTACTATACGATACAGTATTTATTATCATTATAGTATTACTATTTCGGCGATTAGATAAAATATAAATTATATTTGATGCAACTTTAGTTACATTTCCATGACTTTAACAAAACTTTGGGAAAAATATTGTTTTCCATAACTTTTCCAGGGCCTGGAATTAGCATTTAGAATTTCCATGACTTTTCCAGGTTTTTAATGACCGCAAGAACCCTGTATATTTCTGTTGTAAATTATTGTCTTTTATTTTGATTGTAGTAATGTGTTTTTATTACATGTACAGCACTTTTAAATGTGCTATATAAATAAAACTTGATTTGATTTGATTTAAACACTTTGCTGCTAAGATCTGACCAAGCATCAGAAACACTATGAATAGGAAAACATGTAGACAATGTCTCGCCAAAAGAAAAAAGCAATGTTTTACACTCACACACATACAAATTAGAATATATTGAATTACCCATTTCCTGCTGAGTTCTTCTGTTCATCGTGGACCAGAGTCTGAAGTCCTGCTGCAGACCTGAGGCTGTTAGAGAGCGTCTGCTCTGAGGTGACGCTCTTTAGTCGACTTCTGCTCTGTAGTTATGGTGTAAGGTTTTAATGTACGTCAGGGTCACTTTGCAACATATCAAATAGTTTTGACCTTATTTGGCTAAAACTTACTGACAACGTCAACGAGCGATATGAAAGAAAACGACTAGGACAAATGATATGTAATGGGGGGGAAAGGAGGGGCCCCAGGATGGAGACCTGTGGGACCCCAGTGACGAGTGGCTGAAGGTCAGAAACAATTCTAGTGACCAGAGAGGGGGGGGGGATATATCCAGTCTTTGATATTGTTACGTTATGAGAGTGCTCTGATACTTGTTTGATTTTGAAATTGTATATATATATATATATACAAACAGAACTATATATATATATATATGTGTGCGTGTGTATAAATCCGCATCTGCCTGTTATTTAGTACTAGTATTAGTATTCACTATCTGTTATTCGACGCACGAAATTCTTTATTATTCCGCCGGGTTATTTTGCGCCTCTTCTCCTCCCACATCCCACATCGCGAAAACTCCGTTCAAACATCAAAACGTTCAGCTCGGTCGGGCATCGATGACTATTACTTTTCTCATTCATAATGTTACGTTCCCTCCTAAACTAGGGGTACAAAGGGAAGTAACAAAACACAAAAACAACCGGGCAAGAGAAAGAGGAGAGGAAACTGACTGCTGAAGCCACAAAGTGAGGTTTTCATTAAAAAGTAAAGATGCTCACCAGCCAATTTGCAAAACAAACTTATTTAACTAAGAACAACTTTCTGTTAAAAGAAAGTGACTAAATAGTACAACACACACAAAGATAAACTGGAGTACATCTAACAATTCACAAAAGCACAGGCCTCACACAGAGACAGAGACACCATGCTGCACTAAATCACATTTGTTTCTCTCAGAATAAAGTTAAGTCGTCAGCCTTTGATGCCTTACGCCATCCGTTGAATAGCTTTCTCTTCTCTATCGCAAAGTCTACAAAAGTTTGTCCAGGTGTTTTCTTTAGGCCACGAAAACGCTGTCTATAAGCCTCAGGCACAAGCTCGTACACTTTGAGAATAGCGCATTTAACCTTTTCGTACACAATACTATCTTCAACAGGAAGAGAAGAGCAAACCATCTGAGCTTTACCAACTAGCTTGCACTGTAACAGTATGGCCCACACATCTTTGGGCCAGTGCAAAGCAGCAGCAATGCGCTCAAACACAACAAAGTATGACTCAACTTCAGACTCACGAAATACTGGAACCAGCTGAATGTTGTTACCAACATCAAAAGGAGCATCAGAACCTGACAATGGTTGTGTACCCGAAGAGGACCCCACTGAACCCGTCTGCAGCTCTAGCCGACCCATCCTGAAAGCTGTGTCTGCATCTAACTTCCTGATCTCCAGCTCCCTCCTGAGCTGAAAATCTCGCTCACGCTCCTCCTTCTCCCACTGGAGACGAGCTAACCTCACTTTCAACCTGGCATCTAATTTAGAACCAACACAACACAAGGGAGGCCATACTAAACACACAAACTCATTTTCAAATATATCTGATGCTACACAAACATTGACTCTAGTCTTTCAAATAACAAACTTCCCCAGATCCTGCCTACCACAACTTACCTAACTATCTTCTGCAGCGTGCCGGGCTCGAGGCAAGTGCATCTCGATACCGGGGGGAAAAACGCGTCATCTGAGGAAACAGTGTCTGAGGGCATCTTAATATTTAATAAACTATGAATGTTTTATATCCATGTAACGGGAAAAAACTCATCTAACTGATCATTTACATTTTTTTTTCAAAATAAAACCCACAATGCTAACACTGAGCCTCTGAATTAGCAACGAGCGAAACATGCTAACAGATTACTGCACCGAAAATCACTCATAAAACCTTATTATTTATCTTTTCTGCACATCCAACACATCGATTCACATCGTGAGGTGACACAGAATCGAAGGGTACATACATTATCACTCTATGATACGAACTTGCGACTTTATAAACACAAACAGACATCAAAACATGTGGCACTAGGTAAAAACGCTAACATGGCTTACCTGTGTCGTTGTCTGGTCAAAACTGGTCTTCAATGGCATTAAAACGATAAAAACGCTGCTGAAGTTAATCCATAGGTTAATCCAATGTGTCTGTGTCCCTTTGAAATGATTTCTGATAATCCAAAAGCAATAAACCTGCTTTTCCGTTTCCAGATGTCAGAGCTAGAGATAGGTCCACTCTGATGAAAAACTGCATGCGCGAAGCCCCCACCTTTTTGTTTTACAGTGTGAGTGTGGAGATTCCCCTTCGATTCCATTGGCTCTAACGGTCAGAAAGAGATTTCATTCGTCAAAAATCGAGCAAGGGGGGCCAGAGATATGGAAAAAAAAACATTTCCACCCAAATCACCTCAGAGGTGGAGTTGTTTTTGCTAAACCTCTCTAAAAAGGTCAAATGTCACTTGTTTTGCATCAATCTTGATACAGGGTACTTATTATATGTTGTACTTTGGATTCCTAAAGCTTTTAGTCTACTAACCCATCATCCAAGGGTAGTTTTCACTATAAGTAAAAAATAATTTTTGGACGGACACTATAATTTACAGTTTTTTACTATGTAAAATCTGAATTTTCTTTAAAATAAAAAACATCTATATTGATTCTGACTTTTCTACATCCAACTCACAGGGTTATCATTACTTTGAGAATAAAGATTATTAATTTAACCCTTTTAGAAGGGAAGATATGGTCATTTGTTCTGGGAATGGCATTTTCGAGCCTGAGACCTGAAAAACAGGCTCAGTGCTTAACAGGTTAAAAAGGCAAACATCAGCGGCCGAAACCCTGAAGCGCCTGCTGCCCCCAACAGGGACTAAATCCCCACCCAGGATTACCCCGAAAATAAAAAAGGCAAAATAATAAATGAGTGCCTGAAGGAAGGACTGTACAGCCCAGCTAGACGCTCCCCTGTCTAAACTGAGGAAGCTTTTCAACAGTAAGAGACTTCACAGCCAATGCTACACTTATATACACGACTGCTCACCACCAAACACAATCTCAACACTACACAACAAACAATCAAATACTCACTCCTTGTCTCAAAGATCCCGGACGAGCCCCCATTTGTTACGTTCCCTCCTAAACTAGGGGTACAAAGGGAAGTAACAAAACACAAAAACAACCGGGCGAGAGAAAAAGGAGAGGAAACTGACTGCTGAAGCCACAAAGTGAGGTTTTCATTAAAAAGTAAAGAGGCTCACCAGCCAATTTGCAAAACAAACAAATAAATAAGGAACATAAGGACAACTTTCTGTTAAAAAAAAGTGACTAAATAGTAGTGATGTTACGTATTGCGCCGAGGCTTTGGAGCGTGTGTCGAGTAATCCCTGAAGCTTTTTGTGAAGCATGTATCGAGGCTTGTATCGTTTTGGGCCAGTGACGTCATCGATGACAAACGAAGCCTCGCTGCCTGTCGATACCACGTGACTGCTTCAGGAAGCGATTCAGATCGGTTGAACCGTTGAACCACAACGCTCATAATACCCATGGATGTATAATAAGAACCATATTACCCCTCCTGTACCCCCGGCCCGCTGGTGACACGATGGAATTAAAAGAGCTCAGACCCTCACTTATATAGAGGTCGGAACATGTCATAAGTATAAATAGATACAAGCATAAATAAATGTAGGAATAAAAACATGAATAAATAAATGAATAAATACAGGAATAAATATGGTGCAGTGTTTTCAGGGAGATTCAGCGTGTGTGCTGTGGCTCAGCTGGAAAGCAGTTGACTCACGACCGCAGGGTCCCTGGTTCAACGACTGAACAATACGTATTTTTTGTTGTTTATAAAAGCTACAGCTAAATGAGATAATGTAGTTAATAAATGTATTCTTTGATATGGTTTAGCCTTTCTCAGGCTACCACATGGTTAAGTTTATGAATATTATTAAAGGTAGGGTAGGTAAGTTTGAGAAACCGGCTCGAGATCGCTAGAATTTGAAAATACACAACTGGAGAAAATCTGCCACTTCCTTATAGAGCCCCTCCTCCAACACACACGAACGCGCACATGACCAATGAGGGCACGAGATAAGTGTGTGCACAGATGGAAGGCTGACAGGCAGGTAGGCCATCCAGTTATTTTAGCCGGGCCGGCTAAAATGATTGGTCGTGCTTTTTACAGTACTACGGCTTCCACAGATGACATTTCTTTATGGATTTTTTGTCAAAGCACTTAAAGGGCCCATGTCATGGCCATTTCCACTGATCATAATTCCATTGTTGAGGTCTACTAGAATAGATTTATATTGTACATTTTTCCAAACTCACATTGGTTTCTCAAACAGCATCTCTGTAAACTACGTGTATTCACTGAATTTCACTCTCTGCCTTTAACGGCTCGTTGTAGCTCCAATAGCTCCAGCCCCCACCCTCCCTGTGAGCACAGTGTGCTCTGATTGGTCGGGACGTTGTGAATCGCGCTGAGCTCCGTGGAGGTGTTGTTTCCTTGTTTAGGATACATAGCGAAACACAGCCAAACTCATCCTGAGCACACACAAACTCACAGCCGAAGTAAAAACAATAAGTGTGGCTTGATATTGAGTAAGAAAAAGGTTGATAAACGCTGTGAGAATGGGTCTGCAGAGAGAATGGGTCTGCAGAGAGAATGGGTCTGCAGAGAGAATGGGTCTGCAGAGAGAATTTCGCCGTGATCCCAACTGTCTGTTATCAGCCTGCAGCCAGGGAGGAGAAATCAGCTGAGCTGCCTGCTCCCTGCACACAGATGTGTGTGTGAGGAAGTCCGTGGATTGGTCAATTTGGACCAATCAGCGGGGGCTTAACGTAACGGCGCCACGGATTGGTCCATTTCGTTCCGGGTACGGCTTGACATCATGCCGTACCCGGAACGAAATGGAAGAATCAAATGGACAATGACGTATCTCCAACGAGGCGTTTTGGGGAGGGTTAGGGTTAGGGTTAGAGTTTTACTCGCTACAGGGTGTACTTTGAGGGTTTTGACTCTGCACACCGTTTACATGCATAAAAACCTTCATAACACACAAGGGGACGGGTATTAACCGGAAAAGCATGACATGGGCCCTTTAAGTGATTCATTGCTATCGGGATGTGGTGTTACGGGTCAAAATCAACCCATATAGATTCATGCTAGAAAAAGTTAAAAAAAAACAAGCTTCTGTTAGAAAATGTTGTTCATGCCACGCCCCCCCACAGACTTGGCTAAAATGTTCAAAATCAGTTTGGTAGAGTTCATAGAGCTGTTGTGGAGGATATCATGAAGCCTTGTTCTGATAAAAACTAGAGGGTAGCTATTATATAATGTTAACTTGAAAAGGGTCAGAGGAGACCTGAACACAACATAAGGGTTAGAGGAACTGAGCAGCATTGATGGACACTGACGCATTGATGAGTTTAAACACTATTATCACATCTTATCATCATACATACATCTTACTGAGTGTTTGCACTTTTTTTGGCCAATTCACCTCCACTTCCTGTCCCTCTCTGAAACTCTGCTGGTGCTGATGTTGACAGAATGACTGAATATTGAGGCCTGATCTCCTTCTATCTTATTTTTCATCAAAATGGTCGCACCATGAATAAGATTGTTTCTCCAGACTTGATTAAAGCACTGATGTTTTCAAGAGAAAGACAAAAACAACAATGTGTGGCAGCACATTTATTCACTGGTGACAACAGAGTAAAACAAGACATTGCTCAGAGATAAAAATACAGATAGATAGAAATCATCCATAAAGTGTGCGTCATCAGAATAGTATCAGGGACAGTTTCATCCCACTGGCCATAAGACTATTAAACACCTGAGCTTGCACTATTTATATTTGTATTGTTGTTTTTATATGTATTTCTTATGTCTTGTTAATTGCACTGTTAAGGAACCTGCGATCACATTTTTTATACATTACATAATTACACCGTAGTTTCTAAATGTCATGACAATAAACCTTTGAATCTTGAAAAATAGTTATTAAACAGACTCTGGAACATTGTATTGAGAACAAGTGATGCAGCGCCCTCTGTTGGCCGGTGGAATTAATCAAATAAAATGGTCCATAATCTTTGCAATAATCTGCAGAGTTTAAGCGTTGCATCTCTAACACAATAGAATAACATTATTCACAAGTAATTCATCTTTTTTTCAAAGAGTTTCCAGAAACCTTCTTATATGACTGCCCTGTTTAAACAGATAAAGTTAAAGCCTTCTTCTGGCAGATCCATTGTTTGTGGTCACCACAGCTCAGTGATGACCATATGTATCTGCCCTTGTAAAACACTGCACAGCGACCGTCAACAGGAACTGGTATCCAGGAGCTGAGGAGAGAACATGATGTTTAGATAAAGACTGATAGATGTTATTATTCAAAGTGTTTAGTAACGTGTCTCTTACCTATCAGTCAGATCACTTCCATCCACCCACTTCCATTTCCCATCTTCAACTCTCAGACCAATCCAGTATCCAGTATTGATTGCTTCCTGGAAAACAGAGACAGAGTTGTCAGATATTTAAACATTAAACTGTAATAAACACATAATGACCTAAAGACCCAAAGTGTGTTCAAACCTACACAAAACACAATTACTTTCTAATTGCATCATATTAATAGACTTACCTTTTCAGCAGGATTATGTGCAACAGCCAAATCGGAATTCTTTCCTTTGCAGTCTTCTCGAGCTTCTTCCCAGGTTTTTCGTCCAGAAGAAGGAGGGTTATTATACGCATTGCAGCTGAGACCAGTGAGTCTCCAGCCCTTCTGACAAGGTTGACACTTTTCATCTGAAACAACAGAGTCCAAACAATCAACATCATGACTGCAGTATGAAAATATTGTAATAATGACCTAATATATAGGATCTGAACATACCGGTGTTTCCTAAGCAGTAGGAATCGATGCTCCACTGAGCTCGACTAACGTTGAGCTCTTTCCAGGTTGTTGTCATGTCTTGTATTTGCTGTTTCAAGTTCTTCTTCTCAGTCTCCAGCTCCTGGTTTCGTGTTTTCAGGTTCAGGATTTCTGCAGTCTGCTTGGCGTTGTCTTCAGAAAGTCCAGAGGTCACTACAGAGACAAAGAGAGGAAGGTGTTGGGCTGTAAGGCTTGTGTCTCTGAGTGTTTGAATGTTCTTGATAAACATGGAAGACTGGGTTCACATGTTTGCTTCACATAGCAAAGAGCTAAATGCATTTGGAAAGTGACTGGTCTCCTCTGTATTGTAGACATCTTACAACAGCTCTGACATTTCAAACCACTGCCTTTTGCAAAATATGGAGAACAGGAAGACACCTTCACACACACTTCGCCCTTAACACATATTTCAGCTTCCTATTGCAGAATCTTTGCAGCAAACGAGAGGGGAGATGTTGTTGGGTCAACAGACAGAGTTGAGCTTCAGGTCACATCTAATACAAACTGTTGAACTGACTTTCACACAGAAGATACTCACAGTAGATACGGAGACCCATGATGGCTAACAGTATGAGCCAACACACTGCTATCAGAAGAAAAAACCTCTGGCCTGAAAAATAATAATTCAGTTAAAAAACCTAAACAACATGACAGTCACAGATGCTTAGGATACACTTAGAACAAAAAGACACGATTACATATTCACACTTTCAACTTTCTGCACTCCCATTTTTTAACACTATGATTGCTGCATGAATCCCATTTCTGACAATATTAAATGTGGATTGTTTTGTGTTCATAATGCACCTGGACGGGTTCTCTTTTTATCCACAGCGCCTCTTGAGGCATTAACATAGTCATCTTCTTGTTCTTTAATTTCCTCTGAAAGATAAACACATTATTTATATGTTAATGCAGTTTTACTCCCAGTGTGTTGAGCATCCATGAGGAACCATTGCACTGAAAGATGGATTTTATCATTTGTAAAGTTTGAATGTATAATAAACGTTCTGGTCACGCTGACAAAGCATGACGTTCATCAGTTTCTTACTCAATTTATTCTGAAAGAAATAAATGCATTGAATTTATAATTCTGTGTTTATCAGAGTTTGAAAATCACAATTTTAAAGATCACATTTTAAATAAATGTTGTTTTTAAACACTTTGCTGCTCAGATCTGACATCAGAAACACTATAAATAGGAAAACATGGAGACAATGTCTCGGTAAAAGAAGAAAGCAATGTTTTACACTCACACACATTAAAATTAGAATATATTGAATTACCCATTTCCTGCTGAGTTCTTCTGTTCATCGTGGACAAGAGTCTGAAGTCCTGCTGCAGACCTGAGGCTGTTAGAGAGCGTCTGCTCTGAGGTGACGCTCTTTAGTCGACTTCTGCTCTGTGGTTATGGAGGTAAGTTTTAATGTACGTCAGGGTCACTTTGCAACCTATCAAATCGTTTTGACCTTATTTGGCTAAAACTTACTGACAATGTCAACGAGCGATATGAAAGAAAACGACTAGGACAAATTATATGTTTGGGGGGGAGAAGGAGGGGCCCCAGGATGGAGACCTGTGGGACCCCAGTGACGAGTTGCTGAAGGTCAGAAACCATTGTAGTGACCAGAGAGGGGGGGGGGGGATATATTCAGTCTTTGATATTGTTACGTTATGAGAGTGCTCTGATACTTGTTTGATTCTGAAATCGTATACAAACAGAACTATATATATATATATATGTGTGTGTGTGTGTGTGTGTGTGTGTGTGTGTGTGTGTGTGTGTGTGTGTGTGTGTGTGTATGTGTGTGTGTGTGTGTGTGTGTGTGTGTGTGTGTGTGTGTGTGTGTGTGTGTGTGTGTGTGTGTGTGTGTGTGTGTGTGTGTGTGTGGTGTGTGTGTGTGTGTGTGTGTGTGTGTGTGTGTGTGTGTGTGTGTGTGTGTGTGTAAATTAGAGATGGGCGAGTCCTGATTCATCCGGATCATTAACCCGGATCCTAGAAATGAGCTGGTCGTGACGAGTCTCCCCTCTCCATTAACCCGAGTCCTTGAGTCCCACACTTGGTGTGACGTACAAATTAAAACTATAAATTGCGTCACTCGCTACTCTCTTTATAACATGTAAAATCACATTACAACGTACCCCAAGTCCATCTACCTACCCTTTAGCAAGTATACAGGATAGCTGCCAGAAGTGATCGTTTGGCTCAGGGGAGGAGACGCGGATCAGTGAAACTTCCTGCAGACTCGTGGGGACTCAGAGGAGCCGACGGCTCCAACAGCAGACTCGCAGATTCGCAGATTCGCAGATTCACAAATCCTGACTCGCTGCAACACACAGCGGATCAGACTCGTGCGGACTCGGAGCCGTAACCATATAGCAGCAGATCCAGAGATCCAGCAGACTCGTCGTCATGTACGAGTCCACAGCAGACTCGGATTCGCAAATCCTGACTCACTGTGTGTGCAACACACAGCGGATCAGACTCGTGCGGACTCGGAGCCGTATATAGCAGCAGATCCAGAGATCCAGCAGACTCGTCCTCATGCACGAGTCAACAGCAGACTCAGATTTGCCAAATCGCAAAATAACCCTTTTTTTTGTGATCAACATTTTTTATTAAAGCAAAATACACTGTGTAGCGGAGGTTAATATAACGTCAGTTTAATAGATAGATAGATAGATAGTACTTTATTGATCCCAAATTGGGAAATTGTTGTTGTTACAGCAGCATAAAAGGCATTTTACAATAAAACAAAACTACAAAATATACAAGAATAGAAATAAAAATAAAATATAAAATATACATGTCGAAATAGAAAATATACATGCAGATATTATATATATATATATATACAAATATATATATATATTCAAAATATATGGAATAATAATATGCTCGTGAAATGCATCAACTTTTCGGTTTCACCAATAGGATTTCTACGGTCTTGGTGATGCTGACTCAAATGACTCAAATGACTCGTATGATCCGGATCTCTTCAATGACTGACTCAGAAGACCCTGAGTCCGTAAAATGATCCGGATTTGCCATCTCTAGTGTAAATCCGCATCTGCCTGTTATTGTCTCATTATACCGCACTGTGAATGAATTACAAGTAAATATATAAGTCGTCATCAGAGCCGGCCCGACCCATTAAGCGACATAAGCGGCCGCTTAGGGCCCTGCAGCCACTAAGGGCCCCCTAGCAAAAAAAATAAATAATAATAATAATAATAATAATCTCAGTACACCGTCGCCGTGATAAGTATGTTTAATTAATTGTGTTAATATGCCTAGATTGCCTACTCTCAAAGTCATGTATTATATTATTGAGTCAATCATATAATACATTAACCGTGCTACACCTGAACCTCATCATGACACTAGAGAGGACGGCAGGATTTTAATTTCCCGTGTTCAGTGAATGCAACAGAGGAATGTTTAAAATAAACTGTCAGTCGGACTCAGAGTTTTTGAAGATGGACATATGAACATTTTTTCTTAAAAAAGAAGACAATTCTCAAGTGGTGGCTCACACAACAACCCCAGAGCCAGCACTTGAGCCAGGTGAACAAGGTATGTAAATGTCAGTAAACTTACAAGTTATGCGAACATGTAAGCAAAGCATAAATTAAACCTACGTTGACGTTACTTTGAATCGTGGGGGTAAGCTAAACCGTTAGCAAGTAGCTATAGCTAGCCAGATATATTAAATAAACACTTTGTCATACAATCTAAATGTTATGTTTTTTAGCGTTACCTGGGGCCTCATTTATAACGCCTTGCGTAGGATTGACGTGGGAAGATTGCTTACGTAGTACAAAGCAAAAAAATAGGTACAGAAATGTTCCGACATTTTCCGATTCACAAAACATTGCGTACCGGCGAGGGAAGTGCGTACGGCACTTCCTACGCCTGTTTCCCTTTATAAATCACAATCGACTCGTAACGCCCATATTTGCCTATAAATAGTCAAAGAAACGCCCATTCATTCATTCATTCTGACTGACTGCATGAAGAAGATCGCAGGGAATTACGATAGAACAGCTAAAAAAGACATCTCACACCGTGTCAGATTTTGGTTATTTTGGGGAGGTCGAGATAAATCATATTGTTTGGTGGATGCAGTTTGAACCAGAGTAGCAGCATGGAGGTCGGATCGTCACCAAAATAAATAAATAAGTGGTCCGAAAAAAGTTAATGACAAAACAAATACACATAACCTTCCTCAGGCAGTGTGTTTGTCCCGGGGACAGGAGACACCCCCTTGATGAGAAACTGTAAGAAATGATGGGGGAATCCCTCCGGAGTGGAGTCATGACGACTGGATCTGAATTATTTTGTTGTATTTGGTGGTTTGTGTTCCAGCTGTCGATCAGCAACTATATATCCATAATCCACCAGTTAAAGGAAATACAATGTGTTGTGTTATATTAGCTGTACAATTTACCACATATGGTGTTCCTAGTTTCCATACCTCCTGTGTTTTACGAGCGACTTATCAAGTCTTGGCAAACGGCATAAAACACGATTAAACGTGATAGTATATAAAACCATGCTCGTATCTACAACCTATAGAAATGCAAAACGGCGTCAGTTTAGACGTAATTCTGTCCTCCTGCTTACCGCATCATTTATGAGAAAACATTTCATAACATGAACACAACATATTCGAGGTGGTTTTAAATAACATTTCCGTATTTATTTATTTCTCCAAGTTATGTTTTTGTGTGCACTGAGGAGTCTCAAACAGGCGTTTGTTTAATCATTTTAAGATTGGCTTTAATCAATGTTTGAAAATGAATTCTTCATATTTGATAAATGAGAGGTAACATTTTATTTATGGTATTATTTCCACATATTTCTCTCCATTCTTCCTTCTGCCAACGGTGTCGCAGTTTCTCGTCTCTCCCGTTGTTGTGCTTAGTGCGTACGCATGGGTTAGAGTGTGCGTGGAGGACCGCACATTTTCCCGTCAAGCTAGTATTTTATAAATCGCAAACATTGCGTAGAAACTGGCGTACGCCATTTCTTGAGCGTATATCCCTTTATAAATGAGGCCCCTGGTGATTTCAAAGAAAGCTCTCTGGGAAATGTTGACTTACTGTTCGACATGAAGCTAGAAGCTACCTTACAGTAGACAGTTGATCCTGAGTCCTGTCAGTTAAAGTGTTTCATAGTTAGCTTAGCTAAGCATCAACCTAGCACTGAAATATATGGATGTTATGTGACAGTATTTCTGAGAAAAAGTCAGCTGAAATGGTGGCATAGTTGCCACTGCTTTACGTGTCGACAGCATGTTTGAACATATTTGCAGCAGTAAATGTGGCTGTTTGGCCACTGACGTTGCCATAACAACACCTGAATGTAAATGTGCAACCTCTTTTTGTGACTGATTTTTGCATGAAATTATAATTCTTCAGAATGATATTCCTATTGACAGCTAGTTTCTATGTGAACATTATGAGATGGAAAGGCAGAGAGAATAAAGGAAAAACAGTTATGAAATACTCTATGACAAAACAAGAATACAGTTTAAAAGGAGAGTGATTTGTAAAATATCCATAAAGAAAAATCTGTTTACAGTTCTGTTTCATATGGGTGTTGAGAGATGTATCCATAGATCTCTTAATGTTGCTCTCAAAGTGCACCAGATTGATGCTTTTAACTTCAATATTTAAAAAAAAATCTTCCCAGGGGAGCATGCCCCCGGACCCCCCTAGAGGAGGTTAAGACCCCCCTAGAGGAGGTTAGGAACCCCCTAGAGGAGGTTAGGTCCACGGTGTTTACATGCTTATTTATACAATATGTGTGCTTATGCTAACATCATAAGACAAAAGTTGGTTCCGTTTTGTGTGTAGTGAGAACGGGCTAGAGTGAGGGGGGCCCCCAAGCCAAAGCTCGCTTAGGGCCCCCAAAAGTCTAGGGCCGGCCCTGCGTGGAGGGATGTAGGAACTAGAGAGTACTTCAGTAAAAAGTACCCATAACTAGCAGCTGTTTTAAAGAGTACCTGACCTCCCTTTATATTAATAGAACAATAATGTCATTGTTAGCTAATGAATGTTTCCATGCTGAACAACGGCAACATGACAACGTTTTCATTGGTCCCTCTTCTTTAGAGAAGACCAGGAAATGATGGATACACGGATCGTGTTCAAATCAATAGGCACGCAATGACTCTAAATAATAATGATCACGCCACCAAACACACATTCAAACTAAAGGAACCAGCCTGTTTGGGAAATGTAAGAAGTAGAAAGTACAGGTATTAGTGTTCAACATGTGAGAAGTAGAAAGTACAGGTATTTGTGTTCAACATGTAAGAAGTAGAAAGTACAGGTATTTGTGTTCAACATGTAAGAAGTAGAAAGTACAGGTATTTGTGTTCAAAAT